TTTTTTCTTTTTCATATTCAGATAGAGCAAAATTGTGACATGTTTTGCTAGTTCTTTTATGTAGACCTATGTCTGTGGCTTGCTGGATAGATAGGACCTTGGGCAGGTTCCTTAGCTACTCTGAGTTGGTTTCTCCTAATCTGCGAATAGAGGTTAATAGTGTCTGCCTTTCCTGCTTCACACAACCAGGGTTAGATGAAGGGGCTTTTAAAATGAGAGTTTCATTCTAAAGTAAGGTGTATTTTATGTTATTATTGATACTGTTTTTCTTGTTACCATCATCATCATCATCATCATTAAAACATGGAATGTCTGGTAACCACACTCTGGCACTGTTCACTGTAGACCAAACTTGGGTGCACGGTTGTTCTATCCGGAACTTTATCCGCAGTGGTTTAGCTGCTAAAGCTTAAGGTGTTACTGTTGTTCGTTGCTGTTGAGTCAATTCTGACTCATGGTGATCCCGTGTTCCATGGTAGAACTGCTCCATAGGGTTTTCTTGGTTGTAATCTTGATGGGAGCAGATCTCCAGGCCTTTTCTTTCACAGTATCACTGAGTAGGTTCGAACTGCCAACCTTTAGGTTAGCAGTCAAGCGCAAACTGTTTGCGCCACTTAGGGACCAAAGTCCAGTGTGGACCCAGTCTCCTCTGAGTGAGCCCTCGTGGCATAGACTCCGGCAGAGAACCTTCATGCCTGCTTGTTTCTTCAAAATTCTCTCCTCTGCCTGGAACCTCCTTAGAGTCATTGCTTCAGCAAGGACTCATCGCAAGTGTGAAGTTTTTAATTGACAAATGTTAATTGACATTGACAAATGTTCTAATGTTTTTCTTTTATTTTATGACTGTTGTATTATGGTGCATTTGTTAAAATATGTATATGTCTGATTATACTGAACATCGTCCAAAAGTACTCTCTTCTAACATAGGAACTTTTTTTTTCTTTTTAACATAAACATTTAATAAGTGCCCGGTTACTCTACAGATGCATCAATGATTGTTTATATCTTAGACGGGTTAAATCTGATGTTCGTTTTCCTCCTTTTAACAGGTCCAGCGGACCAGGCAGTTGGTAACTTCCCCAGGTCCAGTGAGTTCTTCTGATGGCAAAGTCCTTCCCCTCAATGTACAGGTGGTCACTCAGCACATGCAGTCTGTGAAACAGGCGCCAAAGACCCCTCAGAACGTTCCAGCCAGTCCTGGTGGGGATCGTTCTGCCCGACACCGTTACCCTCAGATCTTACCCAAACCAGCCAACAGCAGCGCGCTCACCATCCGCTCTCCCACGACTGTCCTCTTTACCAGCAGTCCCATCAAAACCGCTGTTGTACCTGCTTCGCATGTGAGTTCTCTGAATGTGGTGAAAATGACAGCAATATCCCTCACACCCAGCAACAGTAGTGCTCCTCTTAAACATTCTTCCTCAGTCAGCAGTGCTCCAGGAACAGCAGAAGAATCAAGGAGCATCCCACAGATCAAGAATGGCTCTGTTGTTTCACTCCAGTCTCCTGGGTCCAGGACCAGCAGTGCGGGGGGAGCGTCTGCTGTGGAGGTCAAGATGGAACCCGGGACGTTATCCGATGAGCGTCCTGCGCAGGGCCCGGAGAACTCTGATGGGGCTAGGGCTCCCAGAACAGCACCTAGTGCCCTTTTGGGGCAGAAAAGTAGTACAGATGGAGCAATGCAAAAGCCTTCCAGTGAAGGGATCGTTGAAATAAAAGCAACCAAGGTCTGTGACCAGAGGACCAAATGTAAAAGTCGCTGTAATGAAATCCTGCCGGGCACTTCAGCTGGCAATAATCAAAGCACTGTCACTCTCTCAGTTGCCACTCAGAACTTAACTTCCACCAGCACCAGCTCACCATCTAATGGTGACTCAGTAAATAAAGACCCTAAATTCTGCACTAAAAGTCCAAGAAAGCGACTGTCTTCTGCATTACAAGAGTCCCAGGTACCTCCTGTGAAGAAGCCAATTGTGGAACAGTTTTCTGCAGTTGTTACAGAAGGTCAGAAACCAGGCAGTGTTAAGAAGGACCAAAAGGTCCCACATTCAGGGAAAACAGAAAGTTCAACAGCAGGTGCTCAGATCTCTAGCAAGGTAGCGCTAAGTGTCAGTTCACACATAGTGGCAAGTCGACCCTTGAACTGCTCTGCTCTTACTCCTGGTGATTCAGCTTTGGAACAGCAAACCACACCGTCATCATCCCCAGATATAAAAGTAAAACTTGAAGGAAGTGTCTTTCTCTTGGACAGTGATTCAAAATCAGATGGCAGCTTTAATCCAAATGAATGGCAGCAGGTCACTAAGGATTCTGAGTTTGTGTCTGCCAACTGTGAACAGCAGCAGGATATCAGTGTTGTGACGATTCCGGAACACTCTGATATCAACGACTTAGAGAAGTCAGTTTGGGAATTAGAAGGAATGCCACAGGACACATACAGCCAGCAGCTACATAGCCAGATGCAGGAATCTTCATTGAATCAAATACAAGCACAGTCTTCAGATCAGTTACCTCTGCAGTCAGAACTAAAGGAGTTTGAGTCTTCTGTCTCTCAGACAAATGAGAGCTACTTTCCTTTTGACGACGAGCTTACACAAGACAGTATTGTGGAAGAACTGGTACTTATGGAGCAGCAGATGTCCGTGAACAATTCTCATTCCTACGGCAACTGTCTGGGGATGGCCCTTCAGACTCAGTCGGTGACTCCAGGAGCCCCAGTGTCGTCTCATGCCTCCAGCACCCACTTCTATCACCCGATCCATAGCAATGGCACTCCAATCCACACACCCACACCCACTCCTACCCCCACCCCCACCCCCACCCCGACGTCTGAAGTGGTTGCTGGGTCTCAGGGTCTATCACGGGAGAGCCCGTGTTCCAGGCTAGCCCAGACTACACCTGTGGATAGTGCTTTAGGAAGTAGCCGGCACACACCCATTGGCACTCCACATTCTAACTGCAGTAGTAGCGTCCCTCCCAGCCCTGTTGAATGCAGGAATCCGTTTGCTTTCACCCCAATAAGCTCTAGTATGGCATATCACGATGCCAGCATTGTCTCCAGTAGTCCTGTGAAGCCGATGCAAAGACCCATGGCCACCCACCCTGACAAAACCAAGCTTGAATGGATGAATAATGGGTACGGTGGGGTTGGTAATTCATCTGTTTCCAGCCATGGCATTCTCCCAAGCTATCAGGAACTGGTGGAAGACCGTTTCAGGAAACCTCACGCCTTCGCTGTGCCCGGACAGTCCTATCAGTCACAATCCAGACATCATGACACTCACTTGGGTCGTTTGACCCCTGTCTCTCCTGTGCAGCATCAAGGTGCCACTGTAAATAACACCAACAAGCAGGAGGGTTTTGCGGTTCCTGCCCCTCTCGATAATAAAGGAGCCGGTCCGTCTGCCAGCAGCAGCTTCAGGTGCCGGAGCGTGAGCCCTGCCGTTCATCGCCAGCGGAATCTCAGTGGAAGCACTCTCTACCCGGTGTCTAACATCCCGCGATCTAACATGGGCCCCTTTGGAAACACAGTAACCCCAGAAGTTCACGTTTTCACAAACGTTCACGCAGATGCCTGTGCCAACAACATAGCTCAGAGGAGTCAGTCAGTTCCATTGACTGTCATGATGCAGACAGCCTTCCCGAACGCACTTCAGAAGCAAACAAACAGTAAAAAGATAACCAATGTCTTGTTGAGTAAACTTGATTCTGACAATGATGACGCAGTGAGAGGCCTGGGAATGAACAACCTGCCCTCCAATTACACAGCCCGGATGAATCTCACTCAGATCTTGGAAACTTCCACTGTTTTTCCTAGTGCCAACCCGCAGAATATGATCGATTCCAGCACTTCTGTTTATGAATTCCAAACACCATCTTACCTCACCAAAAGTAATAGCACCGATCAGATCACCTTTTCTCCTGGAGATAATCGAGCACAATCAGACCTTGTAGAGCAGCGATTAGATTTCAGTAGCACTGTTAAAGACCTCTTGAGTGGAGACAGCTTGCAAACCAGCCAGCAGCTCGTAGGTCAGGTAGCATCTGATCTGGCTAATTCTGCGTCTGATTTCTCCAGCGATATCAGGTTGTCTTCTGAGCTCTCAGGCAGCATCAACGATTTGAATACTTTAGATCCAAATCTACTGTTTGATCCAGGTCGTCAGCAGGGACAAGACGATGAAGCTACACTGGAAGAATTAAAGAATGACCCATTATTTCAGCAGATTTGCAGTGAATCCATGAACTCCATGACTTCATCGGGTTTTGAATGGATAGAAAGCAAGGACCATCCCACTGTTGAAATGTTGGGTTAGGTTGTGTTTTATAATATGTAGCACACTGTATCTAAAGACATTTGTATCGTATTTGTCTTAATGGAAGTGCCTCCCCAGCAGGAACACTTACTATTAATTGTGACATTTTAAAAGCGTTTGCTGCAGGAGTGGTTTCTTCTCCAGTAGGAAATGGTTAGACTTGCCTCAGTTCTTAACAAGTTTCTGAAGACAGTAGGCTGTAGAAGAACCAGTGTTAGGTTTTAAATTTTATAATGTTCCCCGTTTAATCACATTGTTAGCTAGCAAACAGTTGACTAACCAGCTTTCACAAGAGCAGTCTAGAGCTTTATTTTGTGTGAGTTTATTTTAATTCATCGGTTGATCTGCACAGAATTCAGAAGGAACCATTGATTTTAGGTATAGGCTATTTTTTTGTTGTTGGTAATGTCTTTTAGATATGAAATCATAGCTGAGGAGAACTGTAGACAAGAAGGTCTTCCTTGAAACAGGGATATATTCAGGTTACTGTAAGCATTTAGGCTTGACGCATAAAGCTGCTGTAGAACGAAAAATCTCTGTAGGACTTTCTGGGCTTCAGTACCATTTACACCTACAATGAAGGGCTTAAATAGGACACAATAATGGAAAATTAAGTATTAACTTAAGGAAAGCGAAAGGTGCATGGAAAATTTTGAGAGGAAAAACTAGTAGCCATTTATCTGTGTGACCTTGCATTTGCCTTATTTTAAAACGATTTTAGCGAACAGACACACACAGGAAACAAGATGATAACTTGCAAGCACTGTAATTTAATAGACAATACAAGCGTGTTAGGAAAAGGTTTCATGTCTTATTATTTGGTAGTTGGGAGAATCTAGAAGAAAAATAAAAGTATTTTCTTAGTTCTTGTCACATTAGCCGCACGCACATATGACAATTCTACTAAAGATTTTCTTTTAAAATTTTTAATTACAATATTCTTGAATAATCTTTTTTTTGTTTTGTTTTTATCCTTCTCAATTTAGTGACTGACTTCTTTGCTCCTCCTGAATATACGTAACAGAACTTGATCATGGGATCCCTTTGAAAATCAAATAAGCAGGAGGGAGATAACATAAAAACTAAAACAACAGTATTTTACCACCTAAGGTCTGAAGCCACAAATCCTTTATCTTTGATAAAACAAAGGAGATATCAATAGTACTTGAAGAAGAGGAGCATTTTATTACATGCTTGATTGATTTATTGTGATAGCCACAGTTGCAAAGGAAGCACTCAGGATTTGTTTTAAAATGTTTCTTCTCTATATGGCTCCCCTTTTGTTTTGTTTCATTGTTGTTGTTGCTCCCATTTTGTTTTAGGAATCATTACGTATGAATTTCATGTTGACACAAATCTGCTCACTTGTTGACAGCTCCATTTAGTGAGTTTCAAGATCACTTTCAAGGAGACATAAAAATTGTCATTGAGTTTTTAGAGCTAACATTAAACCATTGTTAGGCTACCTTGAACCTTGCTAAGCTTCCTTTACCTTAATTAGTAAGCGAGTCAGAAGACTGCAATCAATGAATACTTAACAAATATGATGAAGGGTTTAATTTAATAAGGTTTCAGTGTTCTATAAATTTGCAAGGTAGAGTATCAACATATTTTGATAAATAAATGGTGCTAGGGTTGGCTCAGAGGTTTATATATTGATATGTCCTAGTTATTGGCATTTGTGTGTGTTTGCTGTTATCTTGATTTAATAATCTGTTAGATACTTTTTTCTTGATGCTAGTTATTTCTTCACTGTACATTGAGACACAGCACTACTGCACACCAAAGTATGCAATACCCAAAGGAAACTGTGATTTCTTTTAACAAATGATGGGAGCCTTTCTATATGAGATACTCTGAAACGGAGATTTTGAGGCCATTCTAATCCCTTGTTTACATTATTAGCTTCCTACTAATATAAAAATAATGGAAATCTTTTTTGATAAAAATAAAAAGACTGGGGGATTTTTAACCCCCTGTACAGTATTGCAGCAAACACTTTAAATTTGGTTGAATTCGTCCCAACAAACTTTCTGGGGTTCATATATTGCACTAAATTTGTTGAACCTGTGGTAGGCACATCTCTTAGGATAAATGCAACCAATACAATCCACAGTTTAAACTTTTTAAATGTGTTTCATTATTAAAAGACAAAAATGTCATCAAAGTGACAGGTAAAATTGTCTTATGTAGCAATGTGCATTGATCTCAATGAGATATTTCTATTTCTTATTCTCTTTCATGAGAATATTACAGCAGGAAGAATTAAGTTTAGTTTGCTTCACCATGTTAATACATGATCACAAAATGTGCATGAGTGTTATTGACTTATCTTGTACAGTACTAGGTATTCCTGTAACCACTTTGTTTTCCCCACCTTGGCTATATTAAAACTGGTTTAGTGTTAACCAGGCAAGCATAGTTATTCACAAGTTATTTTTTATGTTTTACTAATTCTGCTTAGTTATTGTTGAATATGTTCTTTTCTCAGATTATTTTCATTGTTTTGATGTTTAAAACGTTTTGCATAATGTTTATCATGCTAAGACTTCATGAAGTAAATAATTTTGCATATAATTGCAATAAGCACTGACTTTTGAACTGAAAAGAAAGTGTTTTTTGTGCAGTGCGTCTGAGGTTCATGATAGCTTTGTACTATAGTGTGCTTTACTACACCCTCCGTGACGTGACGAAAACAAGCCCCGTTTCATGTTTTCATTTAGTGAGAAAAGTCAGATTTCCCCAGGGTTTAGTTGTCTGTTGTTGTACCTGCTGAAACGACAGTAGTTGAATATTGCGGTAGCATTTCAGTTCTCTTTTTTTATTGAAAGTGCTCAAAAACTGTTTTTTAAATGTTTTCAAAACCAATTAAAAACATTTTATATTAAACTTGACTGGATCTTAAAATGATTTATGGAGTATATTCTATATAAGCAGCCTGCCATTTTGTAAACAGACCCACTGCCATTCTTCCTTTGATTGCGTGACATTCAGGGAAGTGGATAAAAATCAACAGAAGGCAAGACAGTGCTGCTGGTCTGCTCCCTGCTGTTAATCCCGAAGGATAAACAACCCTGTTCATTGGGACTCTGCTGCTGCCAGTCATATGCCAATGGTATACCAGTGATATACCAGTGATACGCCAATGGTATACCAGTGATATGCCAATGGTACACCTATGATATACCAGTGATGTATCAACGATATGCCAATGGTATACCAGTGATACACCAATGATATGCCAGTGGTATACCAGTGGTATAGAGCTTTATGTCATCCAAAAAGCCATCTTTTCTCTTATTCATGTTTGGTTTAAGATGATGGCCTATGGAGTATGGCCTAGATGTGTGTGTTTTGGGGGGTTTTAGTAGGGAAAGAAAATTAAAAAGCACAGCTATGTTCAAAAGCCACATAAGCATTTCCTTGAGCCAGAAATACAAAATGGTAACTGAATTTGCAAGCCTGAGCCTGGGCTGGTGTGGAAGCAGGAGCAGACTGAACTTTCAACTTCTGCAGAGTAATGAAGCCAAGGTCTGAGATGGAGCTCCTTCACTCTTGAAAGGACACTGAGGAGTAACACCCAGTGCCTGGGACTGCAACATTGTAGCCAGGGCCTGAGCCAGACAACCTGCTCAGTAATTGGTGAGAGCCCCACTGTCAGCGTGCACTGTCAACACTACAGGTGATGGGGTGATTATAAAGGGAAAGACGAGGGTAGGTACCGGGAGGAGAGGAGTGAAGAGCAGAAGGACTCCCACTCAAGTCTGCAAACGGAAACTGCAAAGCACTTTAAGAAAATAACACTAAGACAATCAACACTGACTCAAGACAGAATAAAAATGATACACTGCCTGGATGTTACTTTAAAATAGGAAAGAACCTCAACAGTATAGATGGGGGAAGATTATATATCTATATACATGCAAATATAAAATAAGAACCACTAGATACAATGAATCAGAATTCGGGGGTTGGGGAATGTATGGCAGCTGAAGTGCTTTTGGCTGCAAGGAACAGAAAACAACACTGGCTAAACCGTGAGGACGTTTATTTTTCACTTAAGAATTTTGGACACAGGAGTTTCAAGAGTTCATTCAACGGCTAAGTTTTATCAAGGACCAAATTTTTTTTTTTTCTGTTCCATCATCTTCAGCTTTACTTTTCATTTCTGGGGCTATTGGCTCATGGTCACAAAATTACTGCCACAGCTCCAAGCAAGATAGTAAGGTAAGTTCTCTTTGCCTTATATCAGTGAGGAAAAAAAAAAAAAAATCTTTCCCAGAATCTCCTATTAGACACTGCCCCCCTTAGTCTTATTGGACAAAACAAGGTCAAAGGCCCATTCAAAAACCAATTACTTAGCTTGATTCTTGATTCATCTTCAGTAGCTAGGAGTGGGGCCCATTTCCTGGAACGTATGGTCATCCACCTAAAGTGATTTCTATAACCTGGTGAAGGTATTAGGGAATTGCTTTTGGGAGGCAATCAGTAGTGGTCACTGAATTTTTTTAAAAGATGGAGAAAGATGAGTAAGATCTTGTACCCACCTCTGAGGGGGTCACAGTCTTTAAAACAGTTACATGTTATTTGAGAATTGTCAATTAGAGGTATTTGTAGCGAAGAGGCCTTGAAGCACTTACTGATAAAAATCAAAGACTATGGTCTTCAGTATGGATTATACCTCAACATAAAACAAAAACCGTCACAATTGGACCAATAAGCAACATCATGATAAACAGAAAATACTGAAGTTGTCAAGGATTTCGTTTTACTTGTATCCACAACGCCATGGAAGCAGCAGTCAAGAAACCAACGTATTGCATTGGGCAAATCTGCTTCAGAAGACCTCTTCAAAGTGTTAAAAAGCAAAGATACCACTGAGGACTCAGGTGCACCTGACCTAAGCCACAATAGTTTCAATTGCCTCGTGCACATGAAAGCTGGACAATGAATAAAGAAGATGGAAGAAGAATTGATGCCTTTGAATTATGGTATTGGCAAAGTATTGAATATACCATGGACTGCCAGAAGAACAAACAAATCTGTCTTGGAAAAAGACAGCCAGAGTACTCCATAGAAACAAGGATGGCAAGACTGTCTGACATACTTTGGACATGTTGTCGGGGGGACCAGTCCCTGGAGAAGGACATCATGCTTGGTAAAGTAGATGATCAGTGAAAAAGAGGAAGACCCTCAATGAGACGGATTGACACAGTGGCTTCAACAATGGGGGGTCAAACATAGCAACGATCGTGAGGATGGCGCAGGACCAGGCAGTGTCTTGTTCTGTTGTTCATAGGGTCACTCGGAGTCGGACCCGACTTGAAGGTGCCTAACAACCACCACAACATAGCATGCTGTCTAGAAGAAGTGAGAATTTGTACCCTCAGGAGCCATGAATAGGGCAACAAGGTTTTTAGTGGAAGGGCTACATTTAGAAGTAGACTGTTCCCTGGTGTAAACTGTTAACTGGTATCTTGGCTCCCTGTCTCTGAGTTGAAATAACCGGATATTATTGAGTATTATAAATGCAAATTGTCTCTGCTCCTATTATAATAAAGACTAGTTGCTGTCGAGTTGATTCCGACTCATGGGGACCCCACGTGAGCAGAGTAGAACTGCATTCCATAGAGTTCAAGGCTGTGGCCTTTCGGAAACAGATCACCGGGCCTTTCTTCCAAGGTGCCTCTGAGTGGGTTCCAACTGCCAACCTTTCCGTTACTAGTTGAGCACTTAATCCTTTGCACCACTCAGGAACTCCTGTTATAACACCTTTCCCCCCCCCAAAAAAACAACTCATGGCAACCCCATGTCTTACAGAGTAGAACTGCTCCATAGGGTTTTCTTGGCTGTAATCTTTATGGAAGCAGATTGTCGGGCTTTTTTCCCCAAGTGCTGTTGGGTGGGTTCGAATTGCCAACCTTTAGTTGGGGACAAACCATCCAGGGACCTTATCATCATAATAGAAGAGCAAATTTTTAATTTTGTTATATCTTTGGAGTAGAGGTTTATTTTGATGTTCATTGATACAAATGAAATTTTTAATAATTAAAAATGCAAATTAGTAGATGAGATCATTTATCAATATATAACCTGAAATTTTATGAATATATGACCAGCCCTGCTTATAAGGGAGGAAAGAAAAAACAAAAACCACAACTTTCAAGATTGACTTTATTTATAAGAAGTATCCTTGGAGAGAAGGGAGAAGTTATTTTATAAATAAAATTATCATGAAAATAGTATTACTACTGTTAATAAAGTTTTTTTCTTTGCACTGGACTCTGTGTTAAATACTTTGGATATGTTATCTCATTTTCTCGTCTTAACAATTCTGTCATTTTTAGGTGAGAAAATTGACACCAGAGATTAGCTGTGGAGGTAGCAGGGCTAGTAACCAGAAGAGCCAGTGTTCTCTGGACTCCAAAGCCCGGTTCCTGACCATCCTGCTGCATTTCAGACACTCGTACAGACTGTGCCTACTTTAGTAGTTAGAGCTGGTGGCTCCTTTGAAAGTTGCATTTTGGTTTAAAATTTAGGATTGAGTGTGGTGTGTGTGTGTGTTTTAACCTCCAATCTAACAACTCCTATTCATTTTTGTTGCCTATGTATTGATCTGTATTTTGTAACTTTCCTCTAAATGTTAGAATCCTTTTTCCTCCTGTGGAAATACAGGCTCTAATTTATTGAAAGTTGAGAAAAAATAAGATTTTAAAAAACATTTTACACAGCTTTTCAAGCACATTTCCTAAAAGTGTACATAATTATTTTTAATTATATTTAATATTTTTAATTATATTTTAAAATATTTTAAAAATTCACCAAAAAAAAAAAAAAAATACACTGCTTTGTGGGACAAATTATAAACTACCTAAAATGTGTCAGTCTCCCAGGTGCTAGAGATACAGACACGAACCATTGTAAAGTTTTCCCAGTGTAACGAGGAAGGCGCCCATGAACAGGATTGCAGGCTGCAGTGAGCTCACTGTAGCAGACTGCTGCTCACCCCTAATAGGCATTCTCCCCTTCTTCCTTACAAGTAAAGTCCCTGATTTTTTGCTGGGCACATGGCCATCTGAAAGGAAGAATACATTTTTCAGCTTCTGTTGTAATTAAGTGGGGTCTCTTACCAAGGACTCAGCCAAAGGCATGAAATCAAAAGGTTTGTGTGCAACTTTGGAAGTGTCCTGCCCTCCTTCCTCTCTGCTGGCTGGAAGGCAGAGGTGATGGCTAGAACTCAAGTGAGTAGCTTTGGACTGAGGTGAAGCCACATGCTGAGGATACCGGGGAGTGAGACGGGAGGAGTCTGAGGTGCTGGCGGCTTGTGAAGTAGCTGCCCTCCTAGTCCTAACTGCTTGCCGCTGAACACATTTTACATGAGAGAAAAATGAGTATCTCTTTGGTTTACATCATATTTGTAGTTTTATATCACTAAATGGGAATCAAAATTCCAACCACCACAGCCACGAAAAGGTTCCAAGCAGGAGTGGGGAATGTAAATGATGAGCATGGAGATCACTAAGCCATCACGGATCCCTCAAAAATGGCAAACTGAATTTCTTTTTCATTGGACTGGTAGGTCAGGAGAGGGTCTCAGAATACCCTGATAAATTTTAATGGATTCTAAGCTGCTTAAAGGAGTCCCTGGATGGTACAAAATGGTTAGTGTGGTCGGCTGCTAACCGAAAGGTTGGCAATTTGAGTGCACTCTCTCAGAGGCACCTGGAAAGAAAGTCCTGGCAATCTACTTCCAAGAAATCAGCTACTGAAAACCATATGGAGCACAGTTCTACTCATACCCGTGGGGCCACCATAAGTCAGAATCCACAGCAAGTGGGGTTTTTTTTGAAAGACAATTTGGCATTGTGGTCATTGGTGCCAGACAGACCTGGGTTTAAGTTTCAGCTCTGCCAATTACAGCCCTGACCCGGAAAAATTTATTTGAATATTAGTAATGATATCCACAAACTCAAGCCTTGAGTTGCAATATTGAAAGATACTACAGGGAAACTATTAACACAGGAAGCATCAAAAGATGGAAGGACTACGCAGAGGCACTGTACCAAAAAGAACTGGTCAATGTTCAACCATTTCAGGAGGTAACATATGATCAAGAATTGATGGTACTGAAGGAAGAGGTCCAAGCTGCACTGAAGGCATTGGTGAAAAACAAGGCTCCAGGAATTGATGGAATACCAATCGAGATGTTTCAACAAACAGATGCAGCCGTGAAAGTGCTCACTCATCTATGCCAAGATATTTGAAAGACAGCTACCTGGCCAACTGACTGGAAGAGATCCATATTTATACCTATTTCAAAGAAAGGAGATCGAACAGAATGCAGAAATTATCAAACAATATAATGAACATCACATACAAGTAAAATTTTGTGGAAGATCATTCAAGAACAGTTGCAACAGTACATCAACAGTGAACTGCCAGAAATTCAAGAAGGATTCAGGAGGGAAAATGTAACAAGAGATATCACTGCTGATGTCAGATGGATCCTGGCTGAAAGCAGAGACTACCAGAAAGATGTTTACCTGTGTTTTATTGACTGTGCAAAGGCATTCGACTGGGTGGATCATAACAAATTTATGGATAACGTTGCGAAGAATGGGAATTCCAGAACACTTAATTGTACTCATACAGAACCTGTTCATAGACCAAGAAGTCATTTGAACAGAACAAGGGGATACTGCGTGGTTTAAAGTCAGGAAAGTTATGCCTCAGGGTTGTATCCATTTACCATACTTATTCAATCTGTATGCTGAGCAAATAATCCAAAAAGCTGGACTATATAAAGAAGAAGGGGGCATCAGGATTGGAGCAAGACTTGAAAACAACCTGTGTTATGAAGATGACACGACCTTGCTTGCAGAAAGTGAAGATGACTTGAAGCACTTACTGATGAAGATTAAAGACTACAGCCTTCAGTGTGGATTACACCTCAACATAAAAAAATTCTCACAACTGGACAAATAAGCAACATCATGATCAATGGAGAATAGATTGAAGTTGTAAAAGATTTCATTTTACTTGAATCCACAATCAACACCCATGGAAACAGCAGTCAAGAAATCAAAAGACACATTGCATTGGGCAAATCTGCTGCAAAAGACCTCTTTAAAGTGTTAAAAAGCAAAGATGTCTTTAAGGACTAAGGTACTCCTGACCCAAGCCATGGTGTTTTCAATTGCCTCATATGCATGCGAAAGTTGGACAATAAATAGAGAAAACCAAAGAA